TCAGCACTGCATCCTCTCAACCATGAGGCCTGTGTGAGTTAAACACCTTTGGCCCATCCATCTGCCCACTTTCCTTCTTACTTTTAACCAAGCTTTGTTAACCATCCAGGAGCACACCCTGAGATGTAATTGCATTACATATGGCTTGGTCTGGACTAAAGACATTCTTAGTCGACACTGATATGATTTGGCGATTTCGTTTGTTGATTTAATCATTAGATTGTGTAAAAATCGACAAAGAGGGAGCAGCCGTTGTTATAAAATATCAGGACTACATAACCCAGTGCCAAACAAATGTCACCAAGCGTTTCCATTGGCTCAGTTTGATATGCTTGGAAAGACCTGGTGATTTCCTTTCTTGTTCTTCCCCTTCTCTGTGCATGGTGATTGGAGAGTCCTCTGCACAGTACAGGCAGCGAGGCATGTTAATTTTGTTCATGGCCATCATATGCTGTTATCATTACAGACCAAAGCAGATGGTGCAGTAGCAACACTGCATGCTGAGGTTTGAATATAGTATGAACTACTGCAACAAAGACGCCACAAATTGGAATTACAAAACCCCTCCCTCAACATTTATCTGTCATGACTTAACTAATTGTAATTGTACATGACAGGCCTTGATTGTAATGATGAATGTGCTGGTTCTGTCACAGTACATGAATACTTGGGTTGTGCCCTTTACCCAATGGGTGGAGGCTGAAACTCATGATTAGACTGGTAATCGAAATTGGAAGGCGAATAGTTTGAAATTAATTTTTATGACATTTAAAAGATCCCTGGGCTGCACAATTCTTTGTCTTCTGCATGCAAATAAACATACAAGGCTTTCCTCTGTACATTCCCATTTGCATTTCATGAATATAGGCGTAAAATGAAACAAAGGAAAATGCATTGTTATTCATACATACTGTTAATTTGATTAAGTTTAATGTTGAGTTGTGCTGATTTCTGCTCAATTTAACTTTCACTTGCAAGTTATTTCATGTTCCAGTCCATTACTATAATTGTTTTAATTTGCTTAGCAGTAGGGATATAACCTATATAACCCTATATCGTATCTATTTGTATATTATAACGTTATTATGAGGTGTTAAAATGTAGTCTTTGCGAGAAACTTGAATAAATGCAGTAGTTTGAGGATGTTTTTACAGCAATATAAAATAGATGTTAGAACGTTTTAATGTTCCTACTAAAACACAAGTGTATGTTGTACATGGGATATATTTAATGCAAAATGCACTTTTTGATGTCTTTTATACATAAATGTGTCCCCGGTGTGTCAGGGAACTCACGCAGCGTCAGAAAATAAAACCCTCTCTCTTTTCCTCCGTACCCAAATCTCTAAAAACGGGGGTACATCGGAGCTGATCCAGATTTGCGGCGATTTTATGTCATATCGGAAATGTGGACCCACGGCACTATCAGAAAGTTGCTATCAGAAACAATGCCATACTGTTTCAGAAATAATCCATGATATGGTGTTTCATCACGGCAGTATTTAGTTTAGACAGTAGCTGCCGGGTCCCGCATGAGCTCAGCCCCCTCCTTTTTTTTTTAAATAGAGGGATATGAAGCACTAATATAGCCTCAATTTAGACCCACATGCAAATAGAGGACGAGAGCTTCTGCTTTATCAGAGCAAGAGTTTTGTTTTTACAATAGGTGCTGTGATGAGCAGTTACGCCATTGTATTCCTTCCTCTTTAGCAGAACTGTCTCCAAAAAAGTGTTGTTTGTGAGGAGATTGCCTGGTCAGGATATGTCCTGCAATGCAATTACCAAGCCATTACGGTAGTAATGTTGTCCCTGCATTTGGTGTTATTATTTTGTCGCTGGATGATTGCAGTCACACTTCTGCTGCTATAGGGATGACATTGTTCTTATTGGAATCAATAAATGTAGTACACTGGAACCAATGGGTCGCTTTACATGTCAATTTGCCAAACTAATTGAAGTGATTTGACTGTCCTGAAGTCAGATGCACTACAGCAGAATGATTGGGGATGTTGTTAAAGGCTGGTGAACACGAACAATGAACTGAGCCTAGTAAGTGTTACCGGTATTGTGTAGCTGAAGCTTGTTTTAGTGTATTTCACTGTGCGATTCTTGTCCAAAAACTACTTAAATATGGTATTTAGCAGCACTTTAGCACAGTATGACTTGTTGTATGTTTTACTCCCAATTGAGTAACATGTGCTAGAAACTGCACTGATAGTCTCTCTCAGGAAATAACTGTAAATGTGTGTTTTTCTCTCCCCTTTTTCTTTATCTTCTTAAGCTTTACATTTTCAATTGGCACCAATGGGCTTGTATACAGTTTGCCAGTGCTGTCCTTTTAACAGGCTACTTCTGCTTTCAAACTACATTTGACTTGGATGAAGTTTAGTCCCAGATGGTCAGCCGGTCACATTCAAACGGCCAGCCGCATTCTGCCTCACAGGAATTCTGATAGCAGGTGGACGGGTCATTCGGTTGGCCATGCTCAATGCAAATGAATCCATATAACATGCAAATCTATGCAAAGTGGATCAAGATCTAGGAACTGCTGCTCGGACATCTGACGGAGCTAGAGCACAGGTTCAATACATTTCAGACTTTCACCGGCTGTCATTTCTATATAAGAGGCTGAGATGGGATCGTTTGCCGGAACAATCTGGTTCCTTTTTTCAAGGGCACCGTGATGGCAGTTGCTGGAGTAACAGAAAGCCACTCACTCATTTACTGTGTAGGCTAATTGTCAAAATCCCACTTGTTTGCACGACTGAGCTGGTTCTTTTTCTGAACATAGACAGGCTCCAGGGAAGAAGGGCATTTATTTTACTCCCACACTGCATTCGGTATCATAAAACAAATGTGTGCGAGCGCTTATTTGCATCAAACATATGCTTGTAAAACAGGGAGGGGTGTGGAGAGAAACTGGTTTTTATCTCAGATTACTGCATTGTGCCTCTTTCTTAGCCCATAGTGCAGCCACAATCCATGGCTTTTGTAGGAAAATACGTTTCTGACCCTTCAAGCTGGAGGTAGGATTCATAAAACCACCGTTGCTCTAACACTAAGTAACAAGACTTGGATTTTTTCCGTTGCATGAAACCTTTGTTTATGCCTGCACTCTCTTTGACATACCCTGGCCGTTTCTCAATGTCGAGTAAACCTGCCGCAGAGCCACTATTTCAAGTATACTACGTCATCGAGTGGCGCCGAAGGACTGTTTAAATGCATGTTAAATGCCCAGCATTCGGCGCCACTCGATGACGTAGTATACTTGAAATAGTGGCTCTGCGGCAGGTATACTCGACATTGAAAAACGGCCCCTGTCTTTCCTTTCATCCTCTATAGTTCATTTTTCCTCCTCTTTCTACCAACCTCTCTGCTTCTTTATCTTTCATCTAGCCTCCTGTACTGTCTGCCTCTGTCTTTCTTTAAGTGTCTGGCTGTCTTTTCTCACCTCCATTGTGCCTAGTTTATTGTGCCCTTTCTTTCCTTACCCTTATCCTGTCCCCTCCCCCACCGCATTTTTTTACATTCAAAATCAGACCGATGATCGTGACAGTCCTCATTAATTGTGTATAATAGCGTTAAGTCTCTGAGCACTCGGATGGGTCACACCGTTTGGAAGATGGACGAGCCAATATCAGTGAATGTGACAGTTTAGTGCCTTTCTGCATAGACCAGTCCAGCTGCCCTCACCCTTTTTATTCCCCTTCTCACTCCCAGCCACCCTCCTCTCCCCAAAGCTGTCAGTTGCTCTTTCTCCTGAGCTGTAGATAAGGAAGAAAGGCTTCTCTAATGTGACAGTGCATAACAACAGCGGCCTGTCAAGCCAATAAACAGCTCTTTGTTGCCATAAGGACAATGACTCAAGTGCATTTTTGGTAACAGCTTTTGTCAGCCCTAGTTGATATTTTCATAACGAACAAGTGATGTGATGCATTTGGAATCCCAATTTAGCAAGAAGTGCTGGTAAATTATGCGCAAAGGTGTTATAGCCATCCAATGCCCGCTGTACTGAACATTCCCAATCATCTATGTAATGTTTTCAGGACCCGGACCCTCCCACAGAGTTTAGAGAGGCTAATTATTACAAGACTAGTTTTGTAAATGAGAAGAAACGGCTCCATTAGACAGAGTCCAATCCTCAGAGGCAAAACATGCTTGATTTTCATTGAAGAAGATTGGTTGATGCCTTGCATACCAGACCCCAGCTTCCACTAAGTGGAGAGTTTAATTAATAATGAGTTTTTGTCAAAGAAAATTATAAATGGCTATTAGGGCTGCACGATTTTGGAAAAAAATCTAATTGCGATTTTTCTGACAAATATTGCGATTGTGATTCGATTTGCGATATTTGTTTTTAAGCGACCCAACGGAAGTTTATTGTAAAATGCGGCCATATCTCCAGCTAGGAAGGTCGCATCAACATGCTCCCGTCTCTAGCACCCCCGCAGCCCGAGCTACGAGTGAAAGAACTAAACTTACATGAAACTTCTGTTGGGTTGCTTTAAAGTCCAGCTTCAGTTTAAGATTCACCCTGTAATAGATGTAAAACATGTGATGGAGCAGTACTAACCTGACTCAGAAACCATCTAGGAAAGCTCCATTGGAAGCCATTTGGAAAGGCAGGCACTTTCAAGTTTTATCATACACAGACTTGAGTTTTATCATACACAGTAGGAACTGCTTGAGCCTTGGAGCAGGACATATTAAGCCTTTTTATACAATGTAATCTATAAGCTCCAAAGGACTGTTTCTCAATCAATCAAATGTCTTAATAATAATGCAGCTTGTCATTTTCTCATGCATGTTATCCTCAGAATTGTCGTCATCTCTGTTTATGTCTAGGGCTGCCTCAATTAAAAAAAAAAAATGGTTGCCAATACATTTTCTGTAGCAGGCTTATTGTAGCATTGCATGCATCTCTCATTGCGTCTCAGTTTAATATCCCTCCCATCCTTTATTTTGCTCAACCTGTCTCTCTCTGCCCCCCCCCCCTCTCAGGTTTACCCCGGGTTAATGGTGACTGCCGGCCTCATCCACTACGTGCTTAACCTGCTCCACATCACCGTCCACATCCGTGACGTATGTGTCTTTTTGGCACCGGTGTTCAGCGGTCTGACCGCCATCTCCACCTTCCTGCTGACGAAGGAGCTGTGGAACCATGGTGCAGGGCTGCTGGCAGCCTGCTTCATCGCCATCGTCCCTGGCTATATCTCCCGCTCGGTTGCAGGCTCTTTCGACAATGAGGGCATCGCCATCTTCGCCCTGCAATTCACCTACTACCTCTGGGTATGTACACTCTTCATTTGATGGAAAGATGCAATAGGAGCGTATAGCGCAAAAAATAAAAATGTAATCCAGGCCAACATGTCATTTCTATTGTGGATGTACACCTTCTGTGAATAGTGTTTCAGGTGTTAGGAATCAGAATAAAACCTGATACATGTCCTCTTAAAGCTTCTAAAGCTGAAAGATATGTCAACATTTCTACCGCAACAGTAAGGGCTTTATGTAGCCCTATTTTCAATCCTATTTGGCCTCACCTTAGATGTTGAATTATTTATCCAGAGGATGAAAGGCACACTGGGCATCTTTGCAGAGCATGTGGAGCCCAGGGAATGGTATGCTCCACAGTAACACCTTCACAATAGGATGACCTTTAAGAGCAGACTAGAAAATATTGTGGTTTGAAAGGTTGAATAACCCCCCTCCCAATTTACCTTCCTTTTTAAAATACACAAAGTAAACACAGCCTGCAGGCCAGCTGACCTTGTTGAATTTGCACCATCATAGTTCTCAACAAGAATCTGTAATATTTTTCCTTTAGATAATCAAAAGACAATTTGTCAAGTAGTAGACCTTGACCGCATAAATACATTCCACTAATGGAGAGAAAGTGTTTTCAATGCAGCTTGGATGTTTGCACGAACCACAGAGTAATGGTCTGATCAATGATCTTCCACAAAAGATGGAAGATGTCCGAAACAGCCATTGTTAGCTGCCTTACAGCCCTGCAGATAGTCTTACCATGAATGCCTCTTCTGTGTGTTTGTATTCCTGTGTGAAAATGAAGAGATCTGCTTGGCAAACATCCCCCCCTCCCCCCCCACTCATTCTTCTTTGTTTTCTTTATTGAACTGTACCAGTTGAGTAATACCCGCTTTTTCTTTACGTTTATAAACTTGGAATAAGAATGATGAACAGGATTTAGAAAACATTGAAAGGACATTTAACATAGAACATATTTCCAGCCAACCAGTTCAAATAGAAGTATTCCGTTCCTACTTCTGCTAAACTGTTGATCTAAAGACATCTACCGATTTAAGAGGAGTGAACCCTCCATGAATTGCCAATACAAAACTTGCTTTCAATTAATTCCCTGCACCATCCCTTGCAAAGGAGACAAAGCAAATGTTGTGTGTGTTTCCTTAATAGGAGGCAATGTGCCAACAATCCCAGATTAAGTAGAACAAAGAGGACCCTTTGAACATTAGAGCCTCAACCATCAGTCGGACATTCAATCTGAAATTAGATGCTACAAGGTTAATTGTTGCACAAAGTAATAAACAACTGGGATCTTTAAAGACCGAAAGGGATTTGGAGTTTGGGTAAGCCGTTACAAACCAAGGTGACATACAAGATAAACACTTGGATTCAACTTTCTTGACTAGCAGTGACAGCAGGACCTTTGTCATTCATTGTTGCATCCCAGTGGAGAAGATGTCTGATACACTTAAGAATTCAGGTAGGTGACTGCCAGGCTAGTTGCTACTCTTAAGGGAATCATTAGTGGCTTCAACTTAATGCAAGTGGAAACAGAGCGCTAGTGGAGACTAATGATACATGAATTGTAATTTGTTGCTGTTAATGCTGTAGCCCTGGACTTGAAAGACATAGACTTCTAACAAATATCTTCTCCTGTCATGCAGAATGTACTTTTAAATGAACAGCTGTGGGCGGTACATGATGTCATGACGTAATGGTTAAAGTAGCCATGTTTCTGCTACTGAGGTACGGGGCATTGCTGGATGAAAACTCTAAATGGATGGTTATTACTGTGTATAATTAGAACGCCTTGGGCATATTTCTGAGTACAATATTATCCTGTCATCTCATGGAGTCTATAAAATGATTTTTTTCAGCAAAATGGCCACATGTGTCTGTTGATTGCAATGATGGAATATAAAAGTAAGAGTTGAGGGAAGCAATTACAGTCATCCCTGTGAAAACATTTCACACCTGCACAGTAAACCTGAGCAGGTGTCGAATGAATATGGATGTCAAATTCCAATGTAATTGTCAATGTATGAATGTAAAAGAGATCAAGCAGCTAATTTAGGTGATATTAAGGAATTGACAGATTTGATAGGACTGAACCAACAAGAAGCCAGCTGTGTTCCCCTGTAAGGCATTCAATCTCCCCAACATGCATGCAGCATGGTTGGGGACAACATAAGTCCCTGGGATTATGATCTTTATCATTGCTTGGTGGTACCAGAGCACCCTAGGGCAGAAGGTCCATGATCGATTTCGTTATCGTATCATCGGACCTGAGGCCGTATGTTTGGAGACACTCGGGTAAAGAGAGGGGGCGGAGTTGTCAACTGATCACCATCTGGTGGTGAGTTGGGTCGAGTGGCGGGGGAAGCCTCTGGATAGACCTGGTAAGCCCAAACGTGTAGTTCGGGTGAACTGGAACGTCTGGAGGAGGCCCAAGTTCAGGAAGGCCTTCAACTCACACCTCCGGCGGAGCTTTTCGGGCATTCCTGTGGAGGTTGGGGACATTGAACCAGAGTGGTCGGTGTTCAAAGCCTCTATTGCCGAAGCCGCGGCGGGAGCTGTGGTCTCAAGGTCCTAGGTGCCTCAGGGGCGGTAACCCTCGAACCTCCTGGTGGACACCGGTGGTCAGGGAAGCCGTTCGACTGAAGAAGGAGGCCTTCAGGGATTTGTTATCCCGGGGGACTCCCGAGGCAGTTTGCAAGGTACCGACAGGCCCGAAGGGCAGCAGCCTCATCCGTGGGCCGAGGCAAAGCAGCGGGTGTGGGAGAAGTTCGGAGAAGACATGGAGAAGGACTTTCGGGCGGCACCAAAGTTGTTCTGGAAAACTGTCCGACACCTCAGGAGGGGGGGAAGCAGGAAACCATCCAAGCTGTGTACAGTAAGGATGGGACGTTGTTGACCTCAACTGATGGAGTGTTAGGGCGTTGGAAGGAACACTTTGAGGAACTCCTGAACCCGACAACTCCGCCCTCTATGTTAGAGGCAGAGCTGGAGTATGACGGGGGATCAACACCAATCTCCCGGGGGGAGGTCACTGAGGTCGTCAAACAACTCCACAGTGGCAAAGCCCCGGGGGTGGATGAGATCCGTCCGGAAATGCTGAAGGCTCTGGGTGTTGAGGGACTGTCATGGTTGACACGTCTCATCAACGTTGCGTGGAAGTCGGAAACAGTACCGAAGGAGTGGCAGACCGGGGTGGTGGTTCCCCTTTTTAAAAAGGGGGATCAGAGGGGTGTGTGCCAATTACAGAGGCATCACACTACTCAGCCTCCCCGGGAAAGTTTACTCTAAGGTACTCGAAAGGAGGGTCAGCCCGATTGTCGAACCTCAGATTGAGGAGGAATAATGCGGATTCCGTCCTGGTCGTGGAACGACGGATCAGCTTTTTACTCTCGCAAGGATCCTGGAGGGGGCCTGGGAGTACGCTTATTCCGGTCTACATGTGTTTTGTAGACTTGGAGAAGGCGTATGACTGAGTTCCCAGGGAGTTACTGTGGGAGGTGCTGCGGGAGTATGGGGTGAGGGGGTCTCTACTCAGGGCCATCCAATCTCTGTACTCCCAAAGCGAGAGCTGTGTCCGGGTCCTCGGCAGTAAGTCTGGACCCATTTCCGGTGAGGGGTTGGCCCTCCGCCAGGGCTGCGCTTTGTCACCAATCCTGTTTGTAATATACATGGATCGGATTTCGAGGCGTAGTCATGGGGGAGGGGGTCTGCAGTTCGGTGGACTAAGGATTGCACCACTGCTTTTTGCAGATGATGTGGTTCTAATGGCTTCATCGGTCCTGCGACCTTCAGCACTCACTGGATCGGTTCGCAACCGAGTGTGAAGCGGCTGGGATGAGGATCAGCACCTCCAAATCTGAGGCCATGGTTCTCAGCAGGAAACCGATGGACTGTCCACTCCAAGTAGGGAATGAGTCCTTACCCCAAGTGAAGGAGTTCAAGTATCTCGGGGTCTTGTTCTCGAGTGAGGGAACAATGGAGCGTGAGATGGGCCGGAGAATCGGAGCAGCGGGAGCGGTACTGCAGTCGCTTTACCGCACCGTTGTGACGAAAAGGGAGCTGAGCCAGAAGGCAAAGCTCTCTGTCTTCCGGGCCATTTTCGTTCCTACCCTCACCTATGGTCATGAAGGATGGGTCATGACCGAAAGAACGAGATCGCGGATACAAAAGCGGCCGAGAGGGTTTTCTCTCCGCAGGGTGGCTGGTGTCTCCCTTAGGGATAAGGTGAGAAGTTCGGTCATCAGGGAGGGACTCGGAGTTGAGCCGCTCCTCCTTCGCGTCGAAAGGAGCCAGTTGAGGTGGTTCGGGCACCTAGTTAGGATGCCACCTGGGCGCCTCCCTAGGGAGGTGTTCCAGGCACGTCCAGCTGGGAAGAGACCAAGGGGTAGACCTAGGACCAGGTGGAGGGATTATATCTCTTCGCTGGCCTGGGAGCGCCTTGGGATCCCCCAGTCAGAGCTGGTTGATGTCGCCAGGGAAAAGAAAGTTTGGGGCTCTCTGCTGGAACTGCTACCCCCGCGACCCGACCACGGATAAGCGGGAGAAGATGGATGGATGGATGGATCATTGCTTTTACAAATATTAGGAATAACCAAAGAAATACCCTCACTTACTACTGTTTCCTTTGTAATGCTTCTTTGTGTCTATTCATGTAACGTAAACCTGCAGGCGTAATGCAAGTATATAAATATATTATTTTCAAATGCTTTTTGATAGGATGGCGCTATCTTATTGGAAGTTAAGCCAAATGCCTATTATTGACCAACCATAAAGTAGCTGCCTAATTTGAGATAAATAGGTAATTCATGGCTCTTTCACATCACCCAGTTACAGAGATGAGGCAGGCGAATCAAACTCCACTTCATTGCTTCATACCTGCATCGTTCAAACACAACTGCCTGCAGCTGCTAAAGGGTATCATCATAGCATGAGACTGAGCAAGACCCACAGGACTTCCACATTATTGCAGACATTTGAAAGGCCATATTACCTTACACTTCAGCATT